TGCAGCTGCCATTCTACACCACTAACATTTCTAACAGGTGATGGACACTCTACTCAAAGTAGAATTAAAAATAATAGTCTCAGAAAATGGATTCGTTTCCCCAAAGAAAACCAGTCCCACTTTGCAATGCTTTCAAAAGCTAGCTACTTGGGAAAATGTCAAGGCTGCATTTCTGTTTTCTGTGCACGTATGCACATGTAGTTCCTCTTGAATCATAAAGAAATCATAGTTACTTACAGCATCCGCTATACCACCACCCACAAGCCTTCCGTCCTGATGGGAACAGTGTCAGCATTAGAGGATTGTCAACATTCATATTTAAACTGCTTAATTTGTAAAATTATTTGGATAGAGAATCTCTATAGAGACTTTCTTCATTGCTTTTTTCAGCTCTTACTCATTTCTTTCTTTCTTTCCCTTAAGAGACAAATGTTCTCTAATGTCCAGGAGTCAGTGAGTAATTTTATCAAAGTCTTTGCTGATTTCAGTAATTACAAATATCCTAGAACAATCAGGCATTTAAAAATTCTGTTCTGTTTTAAGGCCTATCCTGCGTCCCAGTCTGCCTCAATCAGGGAGCTCCACCAAAACCCATATAAAATCCGTATGCTGAGCAAATAATCACAGAAGCTGGACTCTGTGAAGAGGGATGTGGCATCAGGACTGGAGGGAGACTCAATAGTCTGCATGATGTAGTTGACAGAACCTTGTTTGCTGAAGGTGAGGAGGACTTGAAGCACTTGTTGCAGAAGATCAAGGAATGCAGCCTTCAGTATGGATTGTGTCCCAATGTCAAGAAAACAAAGATTCTTACCGCTGGACCAATAGGTAGTGTCATTATGGATGGAGAGGAGAATGAAAATGTCAACAGCTTCATCTTGCTTGGATCAACAATTAATACCCTTGGTACCGGCAGTCAGTCAGGAAATAGACACATTACAATGGGAAAATCTGCAGTTAGGGACCTTTCCACAGTATTGAAGAGTAGTGATGTCAGTTTGAGGACTAAGGTGTGTCTGGTTCAGGCCTTGGTCTTTCTGATCACTTGCTATGCTCCTGAGACCTGGACAATGAATAGCAATGGCAGAAAAAGAATTGATGCCTTCGAGCTGTGGTGTTGGAGAAGAGCACTGAATATCCCATGGACGGCCAGGAAACTGAATAGATATGTCTTGGAGAGGGTGCAGTCAGCGAGCCCTTTGGAGGCAAGAATGATGAGGCTTTGCCTCACATACTTTGGACATGTTGTGAGGAGATGCTACTCCTTGGAGAGGGACTTGATGGTGGGAAGGGTAGAGGGTCGGCGAAGGAGAGGAAGACCCTCAACCAGGTGGATTGACAAGGTGACTGCTGCAATGGGTTCTTGTGTGTCAGGAAGTGTGAGGATGGCGCAGGACAGGACTAGGTTCAGACCTTTTGTTCATAGGGTTGCTATGGGTTGTACTCGACTTGATGGCACCTAACAACAACAAATTGAAATAAAAATTTGAAATGCAGAACCAAGTAGCATCATGACCCATGTATTTTAATGAGATGAGATGCAAAATTCCCCAAGCTATTTTTAAAGTATTTGCAGTTCTTTCTCTTTTTAGTAATATCCCACTCGGTTTTAAACAAGGTCATAGCCTTTTGACTTGAAGAACTCTTCACTGAGAACATTTTGAGTTCTCAGTGAAAATGAAATGATTCAGTTCAACCAAGCACACTGATTAGTGAGATGGGAGGTAGAGATCACTTCCTCTCATGACATTATCATCTCAAATATTAATGATAATTCAAAAGTGCAGTCCTCCGTTACAGATATGAGAGGACTTTAATGCTTAAACATCATCATCATATGCCTAATTAGCACAGTATATGCATGTGAACTTCTCAAAATTCAAACCTTCAAGTATAGAGCTAAAATGCTAAAATTATTTGATTAGAACATTTTATGCTGTATTTCAGTGGTAGCTAATACGAATCCTAATAGGTTTATTTCCTTCTTAAAAGACAAAGATGCATATAATTACTATATCTAGGGCATGATATTAAAATAGAAAATTAGCTTTACAATTTTCAAGTTATTGCAATTTTTTTTCTTTAAGGCACTATCTCAAGAAAATAATTTTTGGTGTGGTTTCTAGTGCAATATTTATGGCTTTGTTGAGCAGATTTTGAGTTTTGTGTTAAATATAAAACAATATAGAAAAAAAATCTACCACACATAGTGCTATAAACTTTAGTGATTCCCTAGATACTAACGTCTTCCATGGGTTCATTAACCACCACCTGATAGTACATCGTTTTCTAGCCTCGAGTCTATAGTGAGTCACTCCTTCTAATTTCTAAAGCCACTCACTACTTTTAAAAGACCATAATCTTGAGCAAATAATTGCCTTTCCTTAGCTTAAGCAGGAGATACATGCTCTTTAAGGAAGTATTTCTCAAGTGAAAGCGTTTTACTCAGGTGATGAAAACGTGTGACTTAGGAACTGTACATCAACTTCTGCCATGTCTCTGCTTGATTTCCTACATCTCCTGAGACTTGGAAGCTAGTATGAGCTGAAAGGGGGCGGGGGGGTGTGCCTGAAATGTGTGTTCTCAAGTGCACGAGGTTAAAATGAAGTGTTCACTTAAATAGAGTCCATGGTCTCAGCTGCAGGTAGAACTGCTGTCCAACTTTTTAATGACACCATTTGAGCCACATTTTCTACTCGAGATTATCATGGCTAATTTTAATTGGTTTTAAATCTTTTAACCAACGTTGCAATGTTACCAATGGTAAATGCAACTTTAGGATCTTCAACCCCACTCTAACATGTATGCTCTTAAAATTTGCCGGCATGTTTCTGTGCAACAGGCATGCTTTTCCATTTTGCTCCGGCTAGGTTTTTGAAGGAATTCGTTGTGGAATTTAAGGTCTCTGAAAATGTTGCTGTTCTGAGGTCCTGTCTGTCTGGGGAATCTTAGTCCTTCCTTCCTGACGATTGCTGTCTGATTCCAAGGGAGAAAATGAATGCTTGGCTCTAACTTCCTTTTGTTTTTATGCTTTTATGCTTCCTACTGTGGTTTATGAAGATCACGTAGCAGAGAAGGGGCCCAAGGAGACTGAGTGGGGAGACCTTTCCACTGCTGTCCAAACATCGTGAAAGGTGGCCTGGAATAAAGACAGCAAGCCTTGGCAGAACTTTTGTAGAAAACCTTTTATTATAGGAGGGCAATTGCGTACACAGTGTTTTGTTTTGTTTTTAGAGATTTCTCATGTGGAATTACCTTTTACTCTTTTAAGTCACACACAGAAAGGAGAAATGAGCTCTGAAGCACAGATCAATATTCCAAATTGTACAGAGTTAGCTATTATTTTTTTAAGTCAATGCTTTTTTCCCCTTTTCTGAAAACATTTTCACTAGCATCTGCTGGTAGGTGTGTGAAAAGGCTGGAGCACAGAATTGCAAAAGCAAATTGTTTTCCAACTGTTACACCTAGTATTTAAAAAAGGGCCTTTTGAGAAAGGATTTAGGGGAATCAGACACCAAGACAGGCCGCTGCATGGAGTTCCCTCTCCTGACTGGTCCATCTCAGCAACAGGTTCTGAGGACGTCTGGGCAGCTAGAAAGTGCACACCACTTCCAGCCCAAGGTCAACACCAAGGGGCGTTCACCGAGGCAGTACACAGCAGAAAACCTCCCCTGCGTCCTGAGCTGCCAGACCTGGGCTTCGCTCTTAGTGGCGCCTCAGAAGGTCATGGACTTGTGTGCTGCTCGGCGCAGGAGCCCCTTGGGTGCCTCAGACGGCCACTGTGCCTGGGCAAGGGCGATGGGGGCACTGGCCGGAAGACCCCGCTCAGAGGCGCCTCCTCCAGCAGTATCCAGGGCACACGCACACCTGCCGCCCCCTCAGCTAAGCCTTCACTTAACAGCCTCCACCAGGTGCTCTAACCCAGCTCTACATCACTCCTCGTTACATACCTGGCATCTGTGGCTTTCGAAAACTCATTAGTGCGTGTTCTAAGTGATCTTTAAAATCGAATATTGAAAATCAGATTCCAGGGCCAAACATTCGCTCATGAAAAGAAAACGGCCTCACGGGACATGCCTTCGGCTGAGGGTATTACAGTCAGGGAGACTTCTCAGAACGCAAAGCTCTCTTTGCTTTATTTATAAATATGCGCATCACTTCGTGTTCGATCAGTTTAACAACAATACACATCATTTCTTCTGGAAGGAACCTCAACACGGACAAGCGGTCGCTCTTACACCTGCCATTATATTATTGCTAATCATTCAGTCATCATGACCTGATTTTCATCACCAGAGACACAAGGCCAACGCATGGGCTCGAAGAGCCATTCTGGTTACATACAAACAGCCAACACGTTTGAGAAAGAAAGCTTTGCCAAGTGTTCTATGTCCAGTGGGAAGGGCTGGCGGAGGAGAGAGCGGGAGGGAGGCTTCTCCAATAAGCGTGGACAGTGGCGCATAGGCCTCTGCCCTTCTCTCTGCTGGGATCATCTCCAAACGGCGATCCCTGGACATGCTTTCATGAGAACGCAACATTGACAACAAAATTCACCCGTGGGTAAATTGCTCTTTGGTTTAAATCTCCATTATCCCCCCAAATTTGGGTAAATTCCCTTTAAAAACCAATCAACACAAGCCGCCGCCGCTTCCTCCTCCTCCTCCTCCGCCCATTACAAGCTCAACCACCACCACATGCCATCAATTTCCAATGAAAACTTCATCCGCGTGTACGTGTGTCATTAAAGTTCAACCCCATATACAAAGTTTAAAAAAAAAAATCCAAATGTTTTAACATAGTGCTTTATTCCACCTTAATCTCGCATCTCATACTTGAACTTCAAGTTTCAACGATTAAAATAAAAAAAGGAAAAGTCAATTTCCGGCGGCCGTCAGCCATCAGGACCGTCCACACCGAGAACACCCCGCGGCCGCGGGTCCTGCATCCCTCCAGCCCTGCGCCCCCGGCCCTGGTGCAGCACCGCCCTAGGAGGATGGGGTTCATACCTCGCATTCCCGGGCGCCGGAGATGGTGTAGGTGCAGGGCGCCGCGCCGTTGACCGAGACGTCCAGCGGCTCCGCGGGCGAGGCCTTGAAGTCCACGTAGTACTCCTGCAGCGGGGAGCTGAGCTGCCGCTCGGCCTCGCGGGCCTTCCTCCGGCGGCGCCGGCGGAGCGCGTGCTGCTGCAGCTGCTTCATGCTGGCCGGGTAGCGCCTCCAGGACACGTAGATGACCAGCAGGATCATGGCCACCGACAGGAAGAGGGCCACGCTGCCCGCCACGATCTTGTGGAAGGAGACGTGCTCGTAGTCCTGGTCGGCGG